GGTACCTTGTAGAGCCCTCTTGGACATGGCTTGATTTCATCCTCTCTGATTGTTTTCTAACCCACGAGGCACCGTTATGAGACAAAACTTGTTGGTGTCACAGAAAAATAATTAGTCAGTGGTTACTGATTTATTTTTTTTTACCTTATATTGTATCATAGCAAAATAACCATAATAAAAATAACTCACAAAATAATTGTGATCTCAGATATTCACTCAGTCCTTTGTGAACTGCTCACACGTACACAGATGTTACAGTTTTTATTTTATGGCATATATAGATTTTAAGAAATGTTTTTAATTTAAAAAAATGCATTTTTCTGTAATTTTCTGCAGTGAACCCTTTGCTGATGGTCGCTGTAGAAGGAGATAATGTTACTTTGCCATGTGGTATCCCTTCTATCAAAACCTGCTCTTCTATCAGCTGGGACATGAGTGCAGAATTTAATTTAACTGATGAGATTATAAAGAAAGAAAAACCGACAGCTCCAAACAGCCACAGGTATCGCCTGCTCAAAGACTGCTCTCTACAGATAACTCAGCTGGTGCTCAATGACGCACGGCTTTACACGTGTAAGAGTGGAACGCTCAAGTCAAGTGTTTCACTTCGAATTCTTTGCAGTAAGTGTTTTTGCTTCACACCTTCTTTTTGTTTTTTGTGTTTTACATACAGAAATAGTAAACAAAAATATCACAATGCTCACTTTTTTTTATCCACCAGTTACTGAAAGGTCACTTCCTGCAAATGACAAAAAGCTGGAGCTTCATTGTTACCTCAGTACAGATAAAGGAGCTGACCCCTGTTTCAACCACAAAGAGCTTCATATCAACTGGAGCACTGAGGATGATACACCAATAAATGGAAGTAGATTTGTAATTGAACATCCACATAATTGCTTCTCTAAACTGATTATTGATAAAAAATTGACAGACCACCACAGAAAATGGAGATGTCATCTAACTCAGAATGACCTTGTTAAAGCCACCATCAGTTATACGACAACAGTAGAAGGTGCGACACAGCCCGTACACAAAATGAAAGATGTTGCTCAGTACGTACAAAGTGTGACCAGTTCTCCCTTTTCCCCAGATGGACTAGAGGAAGTGTTTGCCACAGTGGGTGAGTCAGTACTGTTGACTTGTGGCAACACTTCCTCTCCTGATATGAAGTGGACTTTGCGTGAAAAGCAACTGAGAGATGCTAGTTCACCTGATAATGGCCAAATAAAAGCATCACATGTGAATCAAGATTCCTCTCTAGTCATTAGCAGACTGAGCTCACTGCATGCTGGAGACTACCAGTGTTCACACTCCACTGATAAAAAAGATGTGCTCAATAAATTCAGGCTGCATACCCTTGATGGTAAGTATTAAAACTTTGTAGATGCTTTGTACATATCTATACATATAGATATATATAGATATAGATATAGATATACACACATATGAGAAAGAGAGAGATGGAGATCTGATGTTTCATCTCTCATGTTCTACATTTCTACAGTAACTGCAATGCCTGCAGGGCTCAGAGGAGAGAATCTCACCTTGACCTGTGCACTTACCTGTGCCACAGAATGTGAAAAAGACTTTGAATTAACTTGGTCAGGAAGTGCCCACAAAAGTTGGCAGAGTGAATTAATGAATATCAATAATACTCTGATAAAGAAGTTATTTCTCCCAGAGTCATCAGTGCGATCATACGAAGATATAACATGCTCTGTGCACAGAGAGGGCGCTCTGGTGGCATCAAAAAAGTGGCGCGCCGTTGACCGTAAGCATGAATTACTGTTCTGTTGCCTTGTCTGCTGAATGCACCTTCTATTCATGACTAAACTGATCGGAAAATGATTCCTTTTCCCAGCTCTGCAAACACCTGCCTGGGTAGGCCTGCCTCTAGTCATCCTGATAGTGGCGGGTGGGCTTTACATTTACACCAAGAGGAAGCGCAACAAGGATGCAGGTACTGAATGTGCTTCAGAAATTACAACCAAACAACAGCTACAACATGAATTACTCTAAGGCTTTGATGGAGATTGAATATTTTCACAATGACCACAATGTTTTCCTTCTTGGTCTGCAGCTAATGATCAGCCCAGTACTGAAATGGTAAGATATCAAAAAACAGGATCATGCCGAGTCAAGCTCACACGTCCTATTTCACTAATGTTGGCGCTCTTCTCCTCAGACTCATGTGTACGAGGTCGTTCAGGATGATCGTAATGAGGAACAACAACAGCAACTACATTTAAAAAGAGAAGCAGCCACTGCAACAACCAGTTTTTATGATTTATTACAAGCTGTGAACTAGAGTGAAACCACATGCTGTTCTTTGTCTTTATCACAAACTTCAAAATCATCAACAGATGTGGTTTACAAAACCTGTTTGAAAACAGACTTTTTTCCATTCCAAGAAACAGAAATTCACTGTAAATCAGCTCCTCCTTTGCCTTGCTACAGACATGCATGCAAGATTTTAAAGAAATAAAGTTACAAAAACATGATTGGTTACATTATAAGCATGCAAACTTATCTACTTTTGAAAATCCAACCCACACTGCAAGGATGAGATAACCGCAGAGGAGAATCTTCTTCCTTACTTGAAAATATTTATTATTGGACTGCAACAAAGGAGAGAAAAATGTTTTGGTTTCTTTGGTTTTTGTTGTTGTTGGGTTGTTTTTTGTTGACATGATAAGATTTGAACATTTTAATTTGAACAATTTCATAAAGGAGGCAAAACCTCATACAACTTACAGGTAACTAAGCTTTCGTCTGGCATTTGATACAGACTGTTGATTCGCTGGCCTGGAATATCTGTGAAAAAGAAAAAGGTTCAAGTCAAGTGTTGAACAGAAAGGCATCACAGTGGCTAAAAAGCGCAGTAAGAAGAGAGTTGGCACTCACTCGTCAAAGGTGCAACAATCTCATATGTAGACATACAATTACCTGAATAACAAGAAAACAGAACTATTTAAACAACTCAATACTACATAAAGTTAGTGTGACTGTATGACAGTGTGATAAGAATGAAAGAGTTTAAAGTCAGATCAAACCATTAAAGCGCCTCTGGTGTAACTGTGTGATTCTCTGGGTTTTGCATCTGCGGTACACAACGAGTCCAATCACAGCAGCAATTATGATCATCCCCAAAATGACACAGACCACAACTGCAATTAAAGCATCGTTGCTCTCCTCCTTCCTTTGCGACACAGATATATCATTGGCTTTTGGTGCTAAAGAGAACAAGGCAAAAGTTAAAGCAACAATATAGTGAACATATAATCATAAATATGATTTAATGAATGTGCAAGACAGCAAAAGCAAACAGACCTGGCAGACTTGGAGTTTTTGTTGGAATAACCGGAACCGTTGTGGTCACAAAAGCTTCGTTGAAAAAACAGGAATCTTACATATTACTTGTGTGTATGTTTGATCATTGCTTTTGATATGTCAAAGAAAAAAATCACTGACCTTGTACTTGTAGATTGGTGTCAAAGCAGCGCTGAGTTTTACCAAGCGTGTAACTGCATGTATACCAGCCACTGTCGCTGGTGTTCACAGACTGGAAAGTCAGAGATGTACCATTAGTTTTGGCTTTGCTGGAGTCAAGTGATTCACGCATGTCTCCTTTCTGGATTGCCCAGGAGATGTTTTGAGGTTCTTGTTGTCCAGTTGTCATGTTTACTGGGCAGTTTAACTTGGCAGGCATGCTGGGTGCTGCCTTCACAGGTTCAAGGACTTTGCAGTCTGCAAGATCATAACAAATCGTGTGACTCACCAGTGAGATATTTGCTTGCAAAGTAAAGATATAGTAGTAAAAAGTTTTACCTTTTATTCTCAAAGATATGTTTTTGGCCGCGACACGGTCCCATCCTTTCCACGTTTCACAAGTGTACAGTCCTGCGTCGGATTTTTGAGGTTTTGTCAGAGTTAAGCATTTTTGTCCATTTCCATCAGCTACCCATTTTACACGTGTATACACATCGTTGCTCGGTGTGGGCCATTTAAACATATCCTTCACTTGATTAGGATCTGTAGCAAACTTTGTCACGCTGTATCTGTAGCAGCTGTTTGGATCCGTGTCCTTTAGACTGAAACAAGTGAGAGCTACATCTTCTTCTTGAACAGCTAAGATGGTCTCAGTATCTGTTAAGCCAAAAGTTAAATAATGAGTCTAAATGTACTAATACATGCATCGCATTCAAGGAAGCAAGTACCTCATTTTTGCTGGTTAGAAAGTTTACACCAAAATATGCAATATCAGATTAGCAGCATGCATATTTTTAGATTCATGGCATATAATTAAATTGCATTTGTTGTTAAATATTTTTTGGAGCCAAGATGATATACACTGAATAAACCTTTAGTTATTTAATTACAAATGTAGTAAGCTTTAGTTAAAAAGCGTTTATTTTTATCCAATCAGATCCAGACATTATCTGCAGAACTGCTTACCTCCAAATCCTGATGCGACATTCAACAGAATTAAAGAAAGGTAACCCTGAAGATATAAATGTAACATGTTCTGTGTAATACAGCTAGTGAAGAGACAAAGATCAGTCACCTCTAGACCTTTTTATTTTCACTTCCTTGAAGTTACATAGAAGTCTCAACTGGAAACTACCATGAGTCTTTTGGATGTTCTTTACCTGATTATGTGATCAACGATACCACAGTGTGGCAAGAACTAGGCATTACATTTGGCCAGTTTTGTGGCCAAGTTGCTTTCTGGGCTCATGTTTAAAGTAAGGAAAAGAAAGTGATAAAGCTGCACTAAAGTTCTCTCCAAACACACTGATCTGACTTATGTGACTGCTTAAACCATTTTACTTCCACCCGTTCCAGTGGAGCTGTTCACTGGTACAGACATTTCACCTTTGAGGTACTTCCGGGTGTAAATGTGCATAACTCTTTCACTTTAAATGAATAAAAAGGAACCCACACCCAGAAAAAAAAAACTGTGAATAACAAAATATGATGTAATCCAAAAATGCCTCATGAGCAAAAGTTTCCAGACTAGAGCACTAAAGAAAGATCTTATTGCCACATACGTCTTTAACAATTTTAAATAAGCTGATAGACCACACGTGTGTCCTGCATGCACAGTTCTCCTAAATTATTATCTGTGTCATCAGGTT